CTGTCTTGGGTTAGCACAACACAAGGTAGGTGAAGAGGGACTTCATTTAACACAATTTCTGCACACACTTCACATTACTTGTATCTTTTGGTACTGTAGTCACTTGGTGGAAACAAAAACTGCATATTTTTGAATCTTTGTTATTGTATTTTATTCATCTATCATGTTCAGTATCATGATGCACATTTGTTTTGTTTGACATAAAGTGTTCTAGTGGTTAGGACTGCTGTGTTGTCTTTTTATACCACCTTTGAAATAAGGAATTGCTGCATTGCATGGAAATGGTTTTTAATGCACATATTTTCTAGATGAACATGATTATGTAGACTATCCCTGATGTATACAAATAGTGCACTGACTTTTTTAATGAAAGTTTTTTTTTTCAGTTTTTAACCTGCTGAATAGTGTACAGTACCCTGGGAGAGAATTGTGCATTTTTATAAGCTTTGTTTTTAAAATGAAACTGGCGTGTGGGCAGCGGCTGGAGAAACACTGTGTACAGTCAGCATTGCCACTGCCCCTCGGTTGTACAGTTTGAGTACTGTCATTAAAATTTTGCCAATGTCTGCAGGACTGTGGGTGTGTCTAGTGGGGGGGACCAGCTTCGTGTTCCAGCAGTGCTGCCCCTTCCACTCCTGGAAGAGTCAATTTCTTTGTCTGCTAAGGGAGTGGTGCTGGAGGAAGCACAACCACTCACTCCCTTGCTTGTCAGAGTGAGAGATCACAAATCCAGCAGTGGGACCTGTGTTCCACAGCACAGATCCTTTCCTTTGCAACTGATTTCCTGGAGGAAGAATACAAAGTTGAACCAGTTAGTGCTTATTATTTGTTTGAATGCTGAACTATTTCCCACTCTGGAACTGACTTTCTATAGTGGGAGTGCTGGAGTAGGGAAATGCATATGGAGGAGAGCTCAGTGCAGTAGTAAGGGCTTTGGTCAAAAGCTTTTTGTGTGTTGCAGTGAAAATGACCCAGGAATTAGCCACTTTCTGCAGTGCTTACCCATAGAAAATAAAGTCTCTGATTAGCCTGGGAGAGTTCTCCTACCCTTTCTACACTTGTCACCACTGGTGGTTGCTGGTTCCCCATCTTCTGCCAGGGGCTTTATGAAGCAAACTGCTTTGTCCTGATGTTTAGAGAATGGCCAAACTAACAGCTTTTTCCCAGCCATGGTGGCAAACCCATTGTGGTTTATTTCCAGGATATTAAACTAAACTCATAAGCTGTGTTGAGGTGCCAGACTTGTGCTCCAGCACCAGCAGCTCTCACACTGGGGCTGTATCCAGAGATGGATCCCCTTCACCACTCACTGCACACAGCCACACACACTGTCCTCTCTCCCTCTGCAATAATTATTTGATATTTTCAAAGCAATTACTTTTAAGATGGAGCTCATTTAAGTTTCTTCCTCTGTAGAAGTGAGCCAGCTCTAACCATCATTTCATTGCCAGGTTGTCACAAATGCCCATGAAGACCTTTCTGCCAAGAAGTAATAGGCAGTTACTGATGTGATACTCAGTTCTTCCATTAAAGAACCTGTGCAGGGGAAAAAACTTGAACAATGTTAAAAGGTCTAAGGAAAATTTCATAGCCTACAATTTCCTTTCATTATGAACAGTTATATCAAATTGTTGAGCTGATGTAATATATAAAAAGAGAAGCTTTCAAGAAATTATCTCAAAATGTCACCAAAAAAAAAGTCTGGGAAATAGCTTAAATCTTTTTTTCTTCTACACCTATTTTAAATCAATTATAATCACTCACTGTAGGCTGACACTGAAGTCTGCTTTAAACAAGTAATTTTATATTCTTTGTGTCATCAACTCTCACAGGACTGGGTTGATAGTGGCCAGGGAAGGAAAAAAAATGTTTTAAAGCAAGGGTAGATGCAGTAGTGAGAGCAAGCACAACCCCATTGTGGTTGTGCACATGCATTGAGAAATCAAACCAAGCCAAAGCTAGTTTTAAAGTCTTATTTTTTGGCAGTGAGATGAAGCCTCACTCTGTTTTCAGCTTTACCTTCCCCCCTCCAGCACAGTCAATGCAATGAGAAGGCTCCAGGGAGACTTTAAAGCAACTTCTGGTACCTAAAGGGGACCTACTAGAGAGCTGGAGATGGGCTTTGTACAAGGGGCTGGGATGTAGGATGAAGGGTGATGGCTCTAAACTGACAAAGGGCAGTGTTAGGTAGATGTTAGGAAGAAAATAATTGCTGTGAGCATGGGGAGGTGCTGGTAAAAGTTATGCAGAGAAGCTGTGGCTGCCCCATCCCTGGAAGTGCTCAAAGCCAAGTTGGCTGGGGCTTGGAGCAACCTGGTGTGGTGGAAGGTGTCCCTCAGTCACTGAGTGCACATTACTGCTCATGAGACCAGGCTGAACTCAGCTGCAGGAGAAAAAAGAACAAAAAGCCATATATTTACATTTCTTGATGCCTGTTTAGTCAGCTGCACCAATCCATAACTGAATGAAACACAGCAGCAGACAAATACCATCAGTTCACAGAACTAAAGACAGCTGGGGGAAAGGGAGGGGCTGGGGTGTTGTGGGGTTGCTTTCACATTACCATAAAATACATAAAGTGCTTTTAAAATGCATCACTTTCAGTCATTTCCATTACAAACTCAGAGAGAGTGAAATGTTGAAACTAAAGTGACAGGACTCAGAACAAAACATTTTGTGGAAAACAGGCGTAGGAGATGTGCAGGAAGCACTGGTAGTGGCAATGCCAGCTCCTGTGTGACACTGTGATGAGTGAAGAAGGCAATAGTTGATGAGTGAAGTTGAGGCAATAGCAGCAGATGTTGGCATTTTTATAGCAAAGCAGTCTCATTTTCTTTGTGCACTTAAATCAAAATCGCTAACACTCAGCAATGCATGAGGAGTGTAGGTGACTCTTAAATGTAAAGATGGAGTTAATCTCTTAATCTCTCTCAACACAGATCATAAATAAAATTAAGTCTTAGATATGAAAGTGCCATTTAACACTTCACTTTAGTAGTAAAATACTGTGAAAAATTAATGTCAATAATACTTACATTCCATATTGCAGCAACCCACTTGCTTTTCACACTCCCACTTGCAACAGTCTCCAGAATTGGTTTGGGCTCTGGGTCAGCACAACAGATGACCACATCTTAACTGCTTTGCTGACCCACTACCTCACAGGACCAAGTGATGTCAAACCATTTTTTCCAAGATGGATGGTGATGAGAGCAAAGGTGTTTCCATGGCGTCTAGGCCTGACTGTATGGAAGTGTGAAAAGATGGCCTGGGGTAAACTTAGAGCAAACTGAGAAGTTGTGTTTGCATCCTAACAGTACAGAGAGGGTAAAATGCAATTGCTACTCCGTGGCAGAAACTTGGTTGGCATGTTCAAAACTATTCCACGGTGAGTCCCCACACCCAAAATCTGCAGCCAGATCCTCCTAAGGGGATGGAATGGAGGGTGGGGTGGATTGGAGACACCTGGCCAGGCTCTGGAGAAATCCGTGCAGGGAGGAGAGCTCTCCAGGGAGACTTGGAGCAGCTTCCACTACCTGGAGGGGCTACAACAAAGCTGGAGAGGGACTTTTGACAAGAGCATGGAGTGACAGGACACCTTGAGGGTGTTGAGACAGTGAAACAGGTCACCTAAAGAAGTTGTAGATGCTCCTTTCCTGGAAATGTTCGAAGCCAGGTTGGATGGAGCTCTGAGCAACTGGGTCTGGTGAAAGGGGCAGGGGAGATGGTCCCTTCCAACCCAAACCATTCCATGATTGTATGATAAAAGTCCAAACACAACACAAATTCTTGCCTCAGAAGAGGATGATCACTGGTGACAGCTCAAATAGAATCAACGGGCAACTTTCTGGCCCTCACTACATTTTTAGGCTCCACTAAACCACTGTAATGATGCAAATACAACAGGTATCTTTCATACTCCCCAGCTCATCAAGAGTAAAATTAAAAATTCCAGCACTTAGAACACTTGAAAGGATGTTCCCTTTTCACCATGATGATCCCTGTGTAGATTTATCATTCATTCAGCAAGGAATTAACATAATATGACTATGGAAATAGGCATATTTATTGAGAAAGGTCAACAAACAAAGCATTTGAAGATTTTTCTTAGTTTGCTGTTTTATAGGAGCACTTACCCTCTTGGGCACTATCTCAAGGAAGAATGTTTCAACACATCTACATATCTTTCCCCCACACTGTCCTCTCTGACTGGAAACATGACAGCACTAAAAATGGGTGATTTGATGGAAGACAGAGGTGTGGAAAAGGTCTCACATTCCTGAAGACAAAGCATTTCACCTGTCTGAAACCACATTTCTTTTAAAAAAAGAGAAAAGAAAGAAAACAGCTGAGATTGTTTTACCGTCTGATCCCAGTTCTAGACTTGAGAGCAGAAGCTCAGCTTGTTTTCCTTATGTGTGCTGTTAAAAAGTTTGGCCTTCCTTCCTTTTTTTTTCTTTAACTCATGGCAATTGTCCCTCTTGCCTGAGCCAGGCTAGCTCACGTCTGTGAACATCCCAGAACTGCAGCACGATTTCTCCAAGCAGCAGTAGCACCTCTGCCAGGTCCCAGCAGAAGCCAAGTTACAGCCAAGCAGTAAAGGAAAGAAATAAAACAATAAAAAGCAATAAAATAAAAATAAAAAATAAAGCAATAGAACACCCCCTCCTCGGAGCCCCTGCAGGTCCCGAGGACTCCACTCATCCACTGAGACTGGAAAAGCCCCGATATCCAAATGGAAGCACAGTGTGACAGCTCTGCTCGAGGCTGGCAGGGACAGCGATGTCCACACGGGAATGCAGCATCTGAGACAGTCTGGGGGATCCAGACCAGAGACAAACCCCACGCCTCTCTCAGGAGACCCAGGCACCCTCATTCAGTCACCACCACACAGCTCCCCGTGCTGCTGGAGATGAGCATCTCCTCATCCCAGCATGAACACAGCTACATTAATCCAGACTCCACAGCTGTTGACTTTCACCCATTTTAAAACACCACTAGTAACTTTTAATAAAATCATGTTGAACAAGACAAAAAGTAGGTTGAAATCACATCATTTTCCCATTTGCACTGTACTAATAGCAACATATATGAACACCACCACACAGCACAAAACTGCAGCATATCCCTTTTACAGAGTCAATCCACAACAAATTTCCATTTAGAAGGTAATTTCATTATTTATACCCAGTCTTTCCCATTTTCTTTTCAAAAGGTTTGTTCCAAGATGGTACATAAATCCAGTGCTTTTAAAGCAAAACAAACAAACAAACAAATCACTTAAACATTTCCTCAAAAAACTGTATTAAACCAAAAGATTACACAGGATAAGGAAAATCAGAGAAGGATCAAGACAACAGGCAATGAGGCCAGAACAATCAAGCCCAAGAAATACTGAGACAGGTTTGTTTCACAGCAAAACATCTCTCAAAATGAAAGTACTAATAAATTCCAGACTGTACTCACATTTTTTTCCTTTTTTTCATTGTAAATGTTACACATCTTTAGAAGGACACTGCTATATTACAGTTTCTTAAAAACAATAAAAAGGCAGAGAGTAAAAATTTAGATCAGCAGCAGCATCTGGTATAGTACAAGATCAAAACAGACAATAGATGTGTAACTCACTGAAAACCTCCTATAAAAAAGACTGTCCTTGGCTTTAAAAAACCATCAAGATTAATGGTTTGACTAATATTCAAAATATGCAAATGGCATACTAATCAAAGTCCCTAATGCAAAAGACTTCTTGGCTCAAAATAGACTTTTGGTGTGATACCAATTTATTTCACCATAATGCCCAGAACATGCATGTGCTATATTTAAATGTTTCCATGTAGAGAGACATTTACCAGAATAAATGATGCCACCCTGCTAATCTCTGAGGTCATCAGCCAGGCCTTTTTATCAGGTTTTTTTTTTTAACTCAGTGCAGCTTAAACACATGCAGAAATCAGCACAAAAAGGAAGTTTAAATCACTACATCTTCAGTGTAATTCAAACAAGTCATCACACTTGCAAAGCAAAGTAGTGCTTTACATTATCCCCATCTTTAAATTATCTTTACATTTACCATTATCCCCATCCTCGCTCTTTGAGGGCTCCTATAAAGATATGAAGACCACAGCACAAGGTGCCATGCATGCTGAGAACAAGCAAGCAGCAAACCTCAGGGCAGCAGACAAAAACAGATCCCCATCCATGTTCCCATCCAGTGCCTCACCCCCCTGCAAGAGGTTTTGGGTGGGCAGGATGTAATTCCACACACCAGTCAAAGGGGTGGGAAGATTTTTTTTTCTAGCTGGTTTCACAAGGCCTGATCAGCAGATCATATACAAATACAAACAGTTAATATTCACAGAGCAACTTCTTGTACCCAATTATTAGAATAGATTTAACATCATTAATAAATATATAAAACAACATGATAATCTCACAGACAAAACACATTTCAAAGGTCAGCATTGACTGAAATATTCAGACGATTTCGTCATTGCTTAAAGCACTGAAGAAATATAAGCAGATAATAATGTGAGTGTTGAGAACAAGCTCAAAAAATACAAACTTAAGATCAATTTAAACTTTCTGCAGAGGCTCTGAACTGATCCTAGAAGCTTTTTCAAATGACCTTCAAATGAAGGCCCTTGCAGCCATTGCATATTTGAGAATAAGCTCCTTCACACTGTCTGTATCTCGGCACTTTATCTAGATCAGCTACAGAGCAGGCATTCCCCAGGGAACAGCACACAGAGGTACATCTGTCCCAAATGATGCTGTTCTACACTTCACACCATCCCATGCTGAAAGAGGACATTGTTCAGTCAATGCTTAAAAGTCTTGCTCTGGGAGACAGAGACCAACATGCTTTTTCCAAGCTTCTTCTGCCATCTCAAACCTGTCCCTTTACCTCTCCCTCTCAGTTCTGCCTCTGAGAAGGAGAGGCAGCAATTCCCTGTCCCACAGTGCTGTTCTGAGGCTTGATTTCATAAGGTGCTTTTGCAGAGTCTCAGAAAAGGCACTATAGCAGTGCAGCTGTTGCAATGTCAGAAATACAGACAGAGGTGAGCGCCCCGCGGCCTCTCCGAGACACCGATGTGCAAATCCAGAAGGGATGAGAACTCACACTAGGTCACACTTCTGCAGCCCCATCACAGCAGTTCTGTTTTCTCCCACAGCTCTGAAAAAGCCTCACATTTCCAGGTCTTGACACAATTATTGGGGTGCCCCATTCCTCAGGCTGTCTCCAGGCTCCATTTGCTCCAGTGGGCCAAACTCAGGGTGTGTGGCCGGGGACTTCCTTTGCCCTCGGAGAGTGTGAGCATTCAACATCTCCAGCAGCAGGTCATACACTGGCACCACGTTCTTACACTTCATGCTCAGGAGATGCTCCATTCCCTTGTTACTGTGCAGGAGAACAGAAAATAACTCAGCAGTCTGGTTACAACAGTGCAGAGAAGAAAAACATGCTCATGGTTCCAAAATAGTCCCTTTTTGTAATTTGGATTTAAGAGGATTTAAATGCTGTGGTCCCTGAGATCACTTACCACTACCAACAGTAATAACATCCCAATATTTTAAGGCTGAATGTTCTACTATTTAGAGAAGCAGGTTTTGTTTTACACCATACAAATTCTTTCAGGAAATAATTCAGATGTACCGACCCTGTTGAAATGAAAGGAAAAGCTTCTTGGATGCTGTAAAGGTGGGAGGCCCCATACTGAAGCTTTATGCAAAAGGAGGATTTACTACATGCAGTTTACTAATGACTAGCTACCTCTTCTACCTACCTGAGTAGGAAGACCTAATTACCCAGCCAATTTCAAGCACTTTGTTTACTCTCTGCATGTCCAGTGAGAGGATCTTGCAGGTGGCTGCAGACTTTAAAATTAATCTTTCTGTTATGCAGTAAAATACAATGACACCTTGCTAGCTTGAACATTCAGCACAGTATCATGGTTTGGACTAAAATTGGCTATTGCCATTGCAGTCACACGTATTTATACACCAGATACACTCAGGGGTTTGGGGCTGAGATCTAAGGGTGCTTGCTCAACACCAAATACATCCCAGCAGAGAGCCAGCATGCAGCTGAGCTGGTGGGTTGGGCTGGGAGAGGGGCAATGCTTCCAGATAAACGTGGTTCTGCTACAATTCAAGAGTTATGAATATGTTAATGGCAAGAAGAAATTGCAGCCCCTCTCCCACACCCAGCTCTCAGTTATTTCCAGAACAAAGCCTAATTGATTGACCAGCACTGAGTAACCTAAAGGAGACAGGACACAACAAGCAGCCTCCAGACTTTGTCTGAGGGAGATACAGCATAAAGGATCTTGGTTTAATGAGGAAATATAAAAAATTCACAAAGATGCATGATGTTTGTTCACAGAATGATAAAACAGCTCTTGCAAAGCTGTGCTGTGGAGTCACATCATTGAGCACAATCCAGATGAGACAGAGTTCACTTCTGGCTGGTGCTGGAGCTTTTGCAAGGCCACAAACTGACTGTTAAAATCTGTCTTTCAGCACCATCAGGTCCCTGCTGCTGCCCTTTGCTCTCCCAGGATGTTTATTGCAAAGGTGGCCATCCCCTTTTCAGTGTCCCTATAGATGTGCCCAGCTCTCCTTTGTGTTCTCCAGCCTGTCCCACGATCTCTTCCCTGGACACACAGCCCCAAGTCAAGCCATGAGACAACTTAGTCAATAGCTGGCCTCTGGGTAATAATTTAAAATGACAAACAAAGTGAAAATTAAAACCTCACTTTGTAGGATCCGCCTTTCAGTCTGCTGTACCACAAGCATAGATGGAACTGGAGCCACTTCCCACAGAAAAAATCAGGGGCCTGATACTGATGTAGCATGAGTCATTTGGTAAATCTCTGTGGCTCCACATAAAAGACAACAAATTTGGTCTAGGAAAAACATGGCCCCCAAAATCCACTTTGTTCTACCAAAGCGCACACTGCAGATCAGTTTCAGAACAGATTTTCATTTTGAATGGAAGGGTTTTGACACTGGGTGGGGTGTTTTTCTGAAAGGCTCAATTTCTGTTATTATTAAACTTTTCAGGCAGACACATAATGAATAATTTAATGTAACAAGGTTAAGACAGCATTTTAGTATCATCACATCACTAAGTCCCAGCAAGCACTTGAGTTTACTGCCTGTTCTGTTGTGCTAGGAAGGAAAGCCTCACAGTGACAGAGGTGAAGAGCAGCACCAGGACTCCCTCAGGAGTGCTCTGGAGTTCCAGACACCTCTTTTTTGCTGTAATAAACAAACACTAACATAACACAAGCGTTACACACACTCTGTAAACTGTACCTGGCGTGTCTGACGTGGGAGAGGAGCATCAGCAAATTGGCCAGGCGAGTTGTCTGCTGCTGGGAGGGGATCCCGCTCTTGGCAATAACCCACACCAAAGCCTCTGTGACCACGTTGAGCAGGTGGTGCAGTTTCCTGTTGCTTTCAGGTTCCTCTGCTGACAAGGGGAACATGCCTAAGAGATGTTAGAGGAAGAAATATTTGAGAAGAGGAAGAAATATTTGCTGCTAATAAGGAAAGGAAAAAAAAGCTACGCCTGTAGATTTTTTATAATATGTAATATTTCAACATAATTAGAGATGATACCTTCCCTGACACCCCCCTCAAGACTATACAAATGATGCTCCATATGCCACATCAAGCATGAATTTTATGGCCCCATCATTTGCAAAGTGAGGAATTCTCCCAAATCCTCCCAAGATATGTTGCACGTAGACCCTTCAGTCAGGGCATGACATGCTCTCCAAGCTCCAGGATTTTTTTTCCCCTGTACCCTGTTTTTTGAACTATAATATTAGGCTTGTTCTAATCCCTTCTTGTTGGAAAAAAACCTTTTCCCTGAGTATATAGTAGGGAGGGAGGAGAACATGTCAGTGACACTGCTCAGAGTGACCCAGCTGGTCATGGTCTCCCTACAGATCACTAAGGGTGTCATAATACACCACATGTCTGCAGTGAGAAACCTTGAAAGTCAGCAAAAGGAAAACAAAAGAAAAGAAAAGAGGTTTGGGTGTATGGACAATGAAAAAAATAAATCACTAGGAAGGTCTGGAAACACACAATAACATTATTGATAAAGCAGAAGACACGTGGGACAAGGGAAAGAAAGAAACCTCAACAGTCCCTCCTGAGATACTTATGGAAGGAGAGAGCTCCAGAACACCTTGAAAATTAGGGGCAAATTATTAACTGTGTCAAGAAAGTAGAGTAGAAGAAGAAAAAGGACAGATATTTTGGGACATGAACTTTGAAGAAAATAAGGCTGATTGAATGTGGAGTTTGGGGGTTTGGGGCTGGGTTTTTTTTGTATTTTAGGAAAAGATAGAAGAACAGCTTTTCTTGTCTCTTGAAATAGTGGTATCCACAGAATCATAGAATCATCTAGGTTGGAAAAACCTTTAAGATCATCAAGTCCAACCTTTGACCCAGTGCTACCAAGGCCACTAAAGCACATCCCCAAGTGCCACATCTCCAGATCTTTTAAATCCCTTCAGGGATGGTGACTCCACCACTTGCCTGGGCAACCTGTTCCAATGCCTGTCCAACCTTTTGGTAAAGAAATTGTTCTAATATCCAATCTAAACCACTACTGCTGCAACTTGAGGCCATTTCCTCTTATCATCATCATGAAATCCTATCTCCTATCATCATCATCATGGCTTTCCAAGCACTGTTCCCCCAGCCTGTGTCACTGCAGGAGGTTTTTGTGGCCAAAGTGCAGGGGGACCCAGCACCTGGTCCTGTTGAACCTCATGCTGTTGGTCTTGACCCATCAATCCAGACTGTCCAGATTCTTCTGCAGATCCTTCCTACCCTCCAGCAGATCAACACTTCAACCCAAACAAGTGGGCAAAGTGGGATTGCAGCTGGACTCTTCCCCTTCAGTACTGGACTAAGAATTATGCAGCAGCTTCTTGCTGAAGGCAATAGATGTAAATAGTTTAGCTGCTATTTTGTTGTAGGATTTTGGTTTTGTCAATATTGACTACGAAATGTTCTGGGCAAAAAATTATTTTTTACTGCAGGCTACCCTAAACTTGCAAACATTCACCTTGTCTAAAAGGCTGCAAAGCAGAACTCCTGTCCTGAAACTCATCTTCAGAGCTGTTGAGTACTTCCAATCATTTCTAACCAACTCATTACCATTAAATAGGAACATTTAAGCCCCATTAGTCATTACTCAGTTGAGTAACTAGTATTACCAGAATTACTAGAATTAAGGACAGGTTTGTAGGGCTTTTGCTGCCACAGCAACTTTACACATGACTGGGATCCACAGAAATAGGAGCAAAATTTCCCATTGAAAAGGACAGATCCACAGCCCAAGCCATGAGCCCCACCTTGTGAGAAGCTATCAGAACTTGGGGTCTTTCATGCAGTTCTTAGAAAAGACATAGCCCCTAAATACAGCAAATTATACAGCTTAGAAATTTCCCAAGAAAAAATCTTTACAATCTATCAGAGACAAGTCTCTTCCTATTATTCTCTTCCAACAGTTTTTTATGATTTGACATTTTGGGTTTCTTGAGGCTGATTTCCCAGCCACCCTCGAAATAAAAGGTACCATTTGGTGAGTATTAGAGCCAAGCACATACTCACTGGAATTGAGGAGGATCATTGCCTTGACACACAGATACTCCTTGTGCTGCAGTTTCAGCTCTCGGAACCTCGAGGTCATGGCCAGGAGCATATCAAAGATCTCCAAAATTCCCTCTACACATTTCCCCTCATCCCTATGGAAACACATTCAACATGTTACCAAAAAGTAGAATTAAGGAACTGACTCAGACAGATAAAGCATGAAGGAGGCTGGAAAAGGCCTGTCTTAGGGAGAATTTAAAAGCTCTGTCATTAAATTTAAATTGAAAATTACACTGGTATGAAAGGTCAGCATTTATAAGAAACTGATTTTCTTGTTAAAGTGCAAGCTGGATTGACCATAAGTGTGATCATATTCCTGTATCCTCTCAGCCTGTATAATTCTGGATAATCAGTTTGAAATCTTGTAGTGCGAGGCATAGAACCACCTTGAATAATTTTCCAGATTTGTTTCACAAGGAGTTACCCACAACCAGTAATATATATCAATAATATGATGTTTGTACCTAATGGAGGCCTCAGGACTTGGTAAAAAAGAAAGACTTCCTAAAATAAGTTTCTTGGAATAACAAGACATTTTTAAAGAATAAAACATCTCTTGTCCCTATCTCCTGGCACTTTTTTCTGTGTAGGAATTGAAAAGTATTTGAGGTTTTGGTGGTTTTGTGGTTTGGTTATTTTTGTATTTGCAAGTGTTTACAGAATACTACGTTCTCCATCTTGGATATGAGAAGTGGTCCTATTTTCAGATCTGAAAAACACCCCAAACAAGTCATTCCTATTTCTTTAAAATTAAGCAGTGGCAAAGTTCAAACTACTGAAGTTGCTGTTCCAGTTTTTTTGTTAGTTTTATTTTATATGTACTGGACTAAACCAGCGATTAAGCTCTACAGCAACAGTACTCAAGGGGAGGCTTATTAGACTCTTTGTAACAGATTTTTTTCTCTGCAATGTTTTTAAGATGAGACAGATTTAAGCACAGCAGTGTAGTAAAATAAAAGAAATTTACTGGATTCCAAGAGAAAGGTGCTGAGCCTTCAGGCTGGAGGCAGGAACATGCAGGTAACACCACCTAGGGGTAGCAGGTTCTGCCTGCAAAAAGTATTTTTTACTGCCCAGTTTCCTGCATTCCTCATAGCAAAGAAGAATATTAAGCTTTAGAGAAGGACAGGCAGCTGCCAGATTCAAAACAAGGACAGAGGTTCCAGAGAAACATTGTCTGCAAAGATTATGTATGAAATGTATCTGAAGGCTCCAGGGAGGCCTCAGAGCCCCTTCCAGTGCATGAAAGGGCTCCAAGAGAGCCGGAGAGGAGCTTCGGACAAGGGCCTGGAGGGACAGGACAAGAGGGAATGGCTTCAAATGGAAAGAGAGTTTAGATTAGAGATTAGGAAGAAGTTCTTGACTGTGAGGGTGTGAGCAGGACAGGGTGCCCAGAGCAGCTGTGGCTGCCCCATCCCTGGAACTGTTCAAGGCCGGGCTGGATGGGGCTTTGAGCCACCTGGTCTGGTGGAAAGTGTCCCTGCCCATGGCAGGGTGGTGGAATGAGATGATTATTAAGGTCCCTTCTAACCCAAACCATTCTAGGATCCTAAGTTCAAAGATAAAAACAGTCAAGTTACAGACCAGGTTCATATAAAAATGTCCTGAATAAAATTACAGCACGCCCAGACACATGTAAGCTCCCACTCTGCCATGTCTTGAGGAAATGAAGAAATGATATAAGAAATATTCTTACTCTATTCAGCCCATATTAACTCTTGAGCAATTAAATGTATTTTACATTTTCATAAATTTCTGATCATTGCACTGAACAGTGAAGCATGTCCTTGCATTGAATTTTATATGAGAAAATTATATTTATTTCCTCTGTTTTATAAATTAATTTTTTTTTCTTTATTAGTCAATTTTACCTATCTGTATCTACAACAATAATTATTGATTGCAAGTCACAGAACTGCTGTAAATCTGAATTTTCCCAGGCTGAAAAGGCTAAAAGACATTTTAAGACTACCCATGAGAGTAGGTTGCTTCCCTGACTTTTTACCAGTATGAAGCTCAGGTCAAATCCTTGCAAGGTTCTATAGAAAAACATCCTTACTAATCCATATTCTCCCTTCCTGGTACATGATGCTATGGAGAAATGATTTTTAAACTTGAAAATACCCTGTTGTACCTTGAAAAAATATTCTTAGTATCCAGCATCAAGCTAGGGGTCTTTATATCCCTCTTGGCAAGTGCTCCAAAGTTCACTATTATAGCTTAACTATGAAGCCTGCTGTAGTGGCAGGAACAAAACCAGGCAGGAAGCCTATTAAAAATAATTAAAAATATTGTCTGACACTCTATTTTCTTTTTAATGAGGGATGTAGGGACAAATGGACAATGTAGTGCCTTGTGTTGCTATATTGACAGTTTCAGTATCTAGAGACCTGGAGCAAAGGGAACAAAACCACCAAAAGATGTGAAAAAATGCAGAGAAACTTCACACTTAGTGCTACAGGAGTTCAGGAATTTGCAAGTTAAACCATGCTTTTAAAACTCAGCATTCCTTAAGCCCCTGTAAGGATGTAGAACCTTAGGACATTATTGTTATAAGCACAAGTAAATGATATTTTTGATGAAATATTAATAACATCTGCCAGGTTTAATCCTCTTCCTCTTACAATTCACTCCACCTTCAAATATGCTAATATGAAGTGTTCTCAAGAAATTAATTCCTCTTACCTGTCTAAAACAAGGTCTGGTGCAAAAATCAGTTTCCCCGGGTGGTCGATTGATCTCCACATCAAACCAATCATCAGAACTTCCATCCAGCAGCTCTCCAAGAGTCTTACTTGGTCATAGAGGCTGAGATCAATGAAGCCTAAAGGGATGCAAATAGCATAAAATAAATCAACATGTTAAATGCTCTGTTTTAATAAAAAAAATGAGTATATGAGAAAAAAAAAACAAAAAAAACCAGAAAGAACTGTGGATTGTGAAGATAAGGAAGCATTGGCATCCAAAGTGCCAGGCTGCCATGTCAAATAGGAACAAAAATATTTGCTACTATCATCTTCCACAAAATATTTGGAATAAAGCAGAGTGGTGTTTTAGTGCAATTAGTCCCATACAGCTGGTGAAACTCAAATGACTGCAGAGTCACCTGCTTTGTTCTCGTCCTGAAAGAGGAAAGATTTTTTAAGAAATAATGTGAGAGTGAGGCCCTGGCACAGATTGCCCAGAAAACCTGTGGCTGTCCCATCCCTGGGAGTGTTCAAGGCCAGGATGGATGGGGCTCTGAACAACCTGGGACAGGGGAAGGTGCCCCTGCACATGACAGGGCTTTGGAACGAGGCAATCTTTAAACCTAACCCTTCCAACCCAACTCATTCCTTGATCCACTCTATGATTTATTTCTCTCCAGAACTTATAGCAAGGGCTCAGATAACACTGCAGCACTGCCAGAAGGCAGAAGCAGTAAAAAAAAAAAAAAAAAAAGAAAAGAAAAGTACACACTCCAAACCGAAAGACCAGAAGTCTAAATTATCAAAACATGAGTGGGAAAACAGACTGCTCAGTCAAGGAGGAAAACACAGATGTGATAAAGAGCCGTTCAGTGATCAAAAACAACATCAGGCCACAGTTTTCAAAGCTGTGTTCCCTTAGCTTGGGCCCTTGGCAAAGGTGCTCCATTTTCAGATGAGCTGGCATCCCTGACACTGTGTGGTGACAAATCTGTACAGCCTGGCCATGACAGACAGGTTTCCTGAAGTTCTTCCCAGTTGTCTGAGGTCTTAAAATACACACAGGACATTTGGGCTGACAAAGACTCTCTCTGTCAGTAATTTATACAATTAATTTTAATCTTATTACATTACTCAGCTGGAAGACAGTCAGCAACAGCCAGGGGCTGACATGAACTGGGCAATGCTCACTTTTATCATTGCTGAACATGCTGCCTTTCAACGCTGGGGCAGCCCTGCCTCTGATTTTATAAGAAGGGTAAAGAGGAGCCTAGGAGTGGCACCTTCCCTCCTGGATTCCACTGCCACAGAATTTACTACAGAACACACAGCCAGCAACAGATTATCTGCCACACACACTCATCATTTAAAACTGCTGTTAGGAAAATATTCACTGAAATGTGAAATAGTACAAAAACTGACAGTGCCAGTTTCCTGGGAAACAACAGCCCAAAGACATTTCAGAGTACATTTAAATAAACATTTACACTGGCATGTATTGATTTCTTTAGCATAAACAAGGAATTATCAGGTTTAAAACTTCTCTCGAGTGAGAATGAGACCAAGTCCCAGGGTTCAATCTGCAGGTTCCTGAAGATCCAGGTTTATCACTAACATCATCTGCTAAACTCAAATTATCAGTGGCAGTAGAAGGAGCTGTGGCCATGGAGCACAGCTGTTAGAAGGACTCTACTTCTCTTTTTCCTAACAATCTCATGCTCCAAATGTCCAGGACAGCAAATAACCACCACAGCTTTTACTGCAGAGCCCCATTTAATTTCCTCCAGACTACATTAAACTAATCATTTTTCTCTGACTGTATTAGACATCTTTTAGATTCTGGGCTCTATTCCTTATCATTTAATTATAAACTGCTAAGACAGACAAAGAAAAAGAACTTGTGCTGGATGTGTAAAAACTAGAAAAAGCTACATTGCTCTGGTCAGCAGCACACTAGGCTGCATAATTAATCCACATTTCTACATTGTGACAGCATCTTATTGGTTTGCAATACAGGTTCAGCAATGAACCATGTTAAACTCTTTAAGACTAGGTCAACAAAGCAAAAGGCAACTACAGAAGCTGTGTTCTGCTGCCTGACAACCAAGAATTTGAATACTTGGAATTCATAAGGGAAAAAATCCAGATGTCACCTTCTATTTTACCAAGAAACAAAAAAAAATATAATCCATTAGGCTGAAAATCTAGAACAAAAATACAGCCACAGAGTAAAATTCATAACAAAAGACTGTCATTAAATATTAAATATGAAAAACCCACAAAATATAAACATGCTTTTTTTCCTATTTAGGCAAAAAGGTATTGTTAATACAATAATGAAACATTTTTTTTTCACCTCCAGCGAGTGTCAAAATAATATCCAATAATAACTTAGAGATGAAAATGGTCTTCTAAGCCAGGAGCACAAAAGCAAATATTCAGCTTTTCAGAAAGTAAAATTACTGCTCACTGGGCCATTAGTCGAGAACTCTATTTTTCCCTAAGATGTTATCTCCAGGAGCCAGGCAGGGATGGACATGCTTACCTTCAGGTAAAAGTTTTTGAAAAACAAAATTCCATGTCCTGAACTTTAGTCATCACAGTTTTTTTAACGAAAAACAAAAAAAATCAATCCACATTGAAGTGAATGCTCCAACTGCCATTGAATATGGCAGTGTCACTTATAATTCGGTGCATATTAAACATTCCATCTATTTTTGGCATTGCTCTAAAATGTTGTTTATTTCTGTTGTCTGTAAAAAGAGTGATCAGAAAAAATAAACATATACTACAAAGTGTCAGCATTCCCAGGAACTGTTTTGAAGGGTTTGATTGCTTCAATAGGTTTTCTTCATACAATTCTCTTACTGCCAAGAAAAAGTTTTTATTTCTGACATATGTTGAAAATAAACTAAAAGTGACTGATGCCAAAATTTGGGTTGGTTTGGAAACTGATCTTGTAAAAAATAAAAATAATTAATCTCAGCTGGCTGAGGGTTTGGGTTTGTGAATTTGTTTTTCTTAAAGAAGTCCCAGAGTTAAAAAAATAGAAATTAATAATAATCAGAAAATGGAAAAGGTTGGGTTGGGGGTGCTTCCCACTGAAATATTGCTTAAAATGAGGTCATTTTCTAAGACTGTTTTTTGGTCACAATTCACTTCCTACCAGATAACCATAACTAAGTAGAGTCCTCAGAAATGGCACATTTTAGTCACATTTTTATGATTAGACAAGAAATAATAATGATAGATACCATTTAACCCCTTATGGTTACTTGCTTCACAGTTCTTTTCCAAGTTCCTTAAGCCAGGAAAAATAAGGATAAATGATTTGTGCTCTCAGATTTAAAACATCCCATATTAACAGCAAAACTATCATCTCTTTGCAGATGTCCAGCGTGGTTTGAGATGCTCTGGGGTGCAAACATCTCCTTCCCTGCAGCTCAGCAGCTGGCCTGGAATCTGCACACCCCAAAACCACCACACCTGGACCCTCCAACACAGTGTCTGAGACTGCTGTGCCCCTGGGAGATGTGTTCATTTCCAGCTGGAGCTGGCAGCACATCAGCAGCTCCCCCTAGACCTGAAATAGGATGTGCTTCCCTGACCGCTAAATTCCTAATTTAAGGATTAAATGAAATATTCTCCTCCAAGTTTGCTTCCTGCACTGTGCACACACTGTGTTTCTGGAGGGAAGGGTTCCTGTCCTGTTTTCCCAGGTGTGTTCTCATAAGCAGCAGCTCCTTATGGTGCACACCATGGCAAGGGCAGGGCACACACCATCACCCTTCAGCACAAAATCCAGGAGAGGATCCATGGAGTGCCAGCTCCCAGCACTGCACTCTATCTGAAGCTCAGGGTCAAACCCCAGACTGCCATGAGTACACCAATTATTCCATGCTTTTAGCTCACTTTAGTTTTTTATTCTGCCTGTTTTAGTCACGGGTACTTCATGTAGAAGGAACTGCAAATGCTCACTGTTTCTGGTTTGTGAGAAGTTCAGTGGTTCATTGTCATGATGCCATGGACATATATGAGACATTCCAGGCAGTTGTACTGCAGTGCATGTTCTTGGTGTTGCCAACAACCAAAAGAACCCTTACTGACTTTTTTTTTTGAAGGAGTGCATATGATAAGTCTGAAATAAATACTGAGCTCCACTGATGTTTTTCTGTTGCTGCTGTGTCCAATGAAATGATTACAAACACCCAGGACTTGGACACCCTTCAGTTATTCACCTGACAGAAACCTTCTATCAGGACTCAAGGAAAGAATTTGATATTAAAAGGAGTCTTCTAAACCACCTTAATCAGGTTATTTATAGCTGAGGTAGAAATTACATACAACACCAGCTCTGCTTTGTAGCAAAATGAACAAGTATTTGAATAAGAACAGACAGCAAGATATGGGTTATATTGTGTCTCAATCAAAAAACATCCAGGTTAATTCATGAGAGCAATAAACTCTCCATTACTTAGCAGGATGTAAAACTTGACTTTCATACCATGCTCTTACTGTGCTGCTCTGTCATGTCAGAGCAGAGGAGGACACACTGACGGTAAAACCATCGTCAGAAACAAATAAAAACAAGCCTGAATTTCTCACCGGGAATTTTCTTGGCCCAGCCGATCATGTGCACCAGCTCCTTGTCTGCCAGCTTTGTCAGGGACATCATCATGGAGGCCTCGGTGAAGGGTTTGCTGGGCCTGCTGACCAGCACGTGCGGCGGCTCCGCTTCCAGCAGGGTCAGCACGAACTGCTCGGGGCTGACGGTGCCCAGCAGGATCTCCTTCACCCGCGTCGCTGCCTCGTTGTATTTCTTGGCTCTGCCCAGGCAATGCACCCGCTCCTCGGGGTTGCGGTGGCTCCGCAGGATTCGATACCCGCAGCGTTCTCTTCTTGAGCCTGGCACGAGAGGCATGTGGTTGCATTGGAGGGTTTTTCCCACAGAATTTTTCTCCCTTACGTAAACCCAAATATTTGGGGAGAAGGGGGAAAGCTCATTAACACTGAGTGTTCTAATATCGAACATTAAGTTTCTAAGGCATTCAGCACAGACTTAACTTTGCCCCGCTGACTTCAGCTGAGGGGTTTTGTTTATTCTACTAAACAAAAATAAAGTTTAAAAATGTTTGGTTTTAAACATCAGCTAACTCAGTTTAAAAGTCCAGTGGGAAACTCCCATTGACATCAAAAAGATGTAAATCAGATCTTTAAAGGCAAATAAAGATAGCTGATTGTAAATTTTGCTTTATATGTAAAGTGGGGGAATAAAAGACTTGAAAGTCTGGGCCATGTTACAGATTAAATGCTTCAGGAACAAGCACAGCTGGGCCTCAGAGTCAGCTGGATGTTCAGCCAGGGATTCACAAGATTCAACCCATTTTCTCCCCATGCCCCAAAAAGCCAGCAGGAGTTTCTCCAAAGGGAATTCAGATATCTACAGCTAAGAACAAGCACCCTGTGTGGAGTCCTGTCTGCAGAAGGCTATTTCTGTTGCAAAGATCAGTCCTTTACATTCCCAGATTTAATTAATTGTTCATTCTGACAAATCTAAACATTGTCCAATTCTTGGTCAATGCTATTGGTAGCACCACTGTTACACATTTTTGCATAGCTTCCAAGAAAAAAAGGTTCTCCAAAACCATAATATTCACAAAATACTCAGCTATAGTTCTACTTCAGATAGCAAAGAGGTCCAAACATAAGCCAAATTAAAAATAAGGGCAGTGGGAGCACAAAAAATTAATTTCAGATATGGTTGACAAGGCTTTGTCTTGCTAAATAAGACACTGGGTGAATGCAGACCCTCAGGCTCATGTGGCAGAGGAACCTCAGGTGGAGGTGGCTTCTCAGGTCATAGTCCTGTCACATCTTCAGCAGCTGTCAAACAGCATTTGGGTCAGTCTGTAGGAGGGGTGAATGCAGAGGCCAGTAAGGAACAACCTGAGTAAGGACCAGCAGAGTCTTCCACAACTTTTAGGATGTGGACCTTTCAGTTGAAGGTGGCTCTCACTCTCACTTGCTGCCTGTTCAGTAAACCATGTTGGATGCAGAAGAAAGTTAAAGAACTTCTCATTAAGAAGCTCTCAGTATTGGAGCACACACTTTCCTTGGAAATCCAAGAGACTGGAGAAGACCAATAGGCAAAGCTGGCTTAATTAACAGACCTCAGGCACAGAGCTACCCAAGCTGGACAGGCCATCTGGAACTGGAAGTATTTTTCAGCTGCAAGCCCAGCTTAAGGCCTGCACCATTTGGAGAAAGAATGGATTTGCAACTTTGAGAGGGATGTGGGTATGATGAAATGGGCTGAGTGCAGCGAGGATATTTGCTTAAATAATGGATTGAAGGAAATAAATAATTTGTAGAACCAAAGGTTTAGCCAAATGACAACTAGCTAGAAGTTGCCAGAGCAGATGAACAGCAGCTAAGGGAAGATAACATACCAGCAGAGACACTCAGAGCGTGAGTCTCTGTATTATCTTATGGAAATTCATAGAATGAGGCTTGATGAAAATACCCAAAAAAAGGTTCCCTGCAGAATTACAGAAGTAACGAAGCAATTTCTTCCACCATCAGTCTAGGGCAAATCCTTCCTGAAAAGAGTCAAAGGCCACCAAGGCATAGACTATTTTCTACAAAGACACCTGGATAATGTAGTGAACTCTGTGCTAAGCCTCATTTCTTCATTAATGCACAAAGGTCAAGAGGAAAATCTTCAAGTGGTTTGTGAGCTTCCAAAAAGACCACTAGAATGGCACAGCGGGCTGCAGACTGTTCTGAAATCATGTAATAACACAGAAAGTACGTATTTTCCATCAGGGAAGACAAAAAGTAAAGGCTGACAGTGAAATAGGCAACTGAAACAACAGCTGGAGATGCATGAGGAGATACCCAGGAACCAAGGTGCTCTGCCTACAGATATCCATGGCTCTGAACCCCACAGCATGGGACAGACCATAACCACAAAGAAATAAAGCACATTGTTTCTGCTTTTTAGAACACTTAAGTACATTTCCCAGGGGCAGCTTGAAACACAGAACAAGAAAAATAGCAGAGGGAATAAAGCCATGGGCAGGGTAGAGTAAAAATTTTCTTGGGCTATCCAAAAACACCAAATGCTCTGTGGCATGCATTATCTGAGTTATCTTTTCCAACTCACTGTTGTAAAGATCTTTAAATGATATTTTGTAGCCTATAAGTATAAATTTGAGCTTTTATAAATATATAGAAAATATAAACACACAGATAATTGAGCAGATACTTTAATAAATATAAAAGAAATCAAATTTAAAAGCAATTTAAAAAACAGTTCAGCATTCTGTTTTAATTGACAAAATCTTGAACAATTTCCACCTGCACAGCTGTACTCCATGCTCCATCTAAATATAATTCAATCAGGTTATGATTTTGAGAGTATTAAAGTTCTCAATACTTGTGAAGGGCTCTTACTGGGAACTAGTAAACCTCTTTAAATTACTTTTGGTTATTTAACTGAATTGAGTTTTTTATATAACCAGTTCTTATTATATAAAATATGCTCCATTTAAAACATAAGTCAAATTTCTAAAATCACATTACCAGTGCAGAAAGCCAGACTAGGATCATTACATTTCTGCATAAAAACTTGCTACTGAAGAAAATATTAAACAAGGTGGGAAAAAACCCATCCAAAGCAAATTCTGAGTTATTTGTTCTATTTTTTATTTACCATATATTGCCCAAAGCAGAAGTAGACAGAATCCGAGGAGCATGCATAAAAGATAGTTAAAAGAGATAACATTTATAAATACTTTGTATTTCTTTCTGCTTGCATTTAAGGAAAAAAAGCTACATTTAAACTCTCTAGTTAACTGAAACAGCAGAAGACACCAGTTTTTCCCATTAAAACAACTTTCAACAACATAAAGGAGCTTCTTTGCTTTCTATTCAATTCCAAGAATTAGGCAGGACTAAGAAATTTGACCTATACGTCCATTAGCATGCAACAGACATATATAAGTGTTTATAAAGCTATATATTATAAATAATTATCAACCAGCCTAATGTTTTCCTTAAGTAGATACAGAGATATGGATCAGTGTGTGTAAAGGCAGAGCAATAAAATACAGCTTCCCAGATTAGGGACTATCTTCAACTTTACCACAAACTCCCTAACTGTACTTAGTATCTAATATTCATTTCTATAAATGTAATTCAGGCAATTGCAGAAGTGCAAAATGATCAAATTCCTCATTCTTCCTACCACACTCTCCTTATTTAGAGCTATTTTGTGCAAGAAAATTGCTGTATTCAGCCGAGAATGCTGGACCAAGGGCAAGACCTTGAGCTACAGCACCACAGACCACGAATAAATGACCCCAAGATATAAGGCACATTGAAAAAAAGGTCATTAAAATGAGCCTGTTGTTCACTCAGCCATGAACAAGCTGCAGCAGGTATTACTGGCAGTGAAATACATTATTTTTCAAGCTTTGCAAATTCTCTGAAAATCACAAATGCTGTCTGATATGGTGGGCAGTTACATGGCATGTTGCCCTTCATGCTGACTTTGGTCCCTTGCAATGGCTCATGTAACTATTCAGCTCTGTAGCAATTGCAGATTCTATCATTGAATATTTTATAATCAGATTTTGAAAGTGTGAGAGCTTAAAACTGGCTCCAGTACACACTGGTAAATCATTATCACTCCAGTCACCTTTGAAAGCAAATGCAAATGCTCTGATGAGTACATATTCCAGAGCAGACCCTCGAATTCTCAAGAGTTGAGCCACTGACAAAGGAGCTGCCATCTGTATAGGGATTTCTATAAAAGCTGAAATTCAATTAATACATCTGATGTCCAGTCAATATCTTGAAATATTTTGTCCTCACTTATTTTCTGTGTGAAAAGTACTTTACAGTATTTCAACTGCACACAGCAGCCACACACAGGAGAAAGAGCCAAATCCTGAACCAGCCCTCGGAGAAATCTGTTTTCTTTCTTGCAAACTCGTCAAATGATGCCAGGATTCAAGAGAAGCATCTCTCCATCACTTTTGAGTGTGGCCTCTCAGCCTCCTCACTCGAGGCTGAAAGGAGCTTTATCTTTGGAACAATTTCAACATGTTGAGAACTGACACATGGGGAGAAAGATATAGGAGCAGGGCAGAGGAGGGAATTAAAAGTCAGGGAAACTGAAAACTCCTTGTGAAAGCCTCAGGAAGCAAATCAAAAGGAAAGCAGGGTTTAGCTACTCCAAGAGTGAAAAGCAACTCCCCTCTTCTTCACTGCCTTAAACAAACAGTCCAAGTCCATTTCAGCTCCCCAGGTAAGCACCAGAAAGTTCCAAGGGAAGATCAGTTTTATTCTGATCTGTTTTATTCAAGTTTGCTGGGCAGAGTTTACTGCAGTCTTTCTGTTTTCTTTGTTCCTGATGACAGTGCAATTTTTTTGTTAATTATTTTTCTACCACTGTTAGGAGTCTTACTGCCAAGCTTTAGCAGTAGCTTCCTTGTTTGGAAGAGCAGGGAACATGGATTTCCTGCAGAGGAGTTGGCAGATGCAATGTCTACGGCCTTTGTGCTTTTGAAAAGGATGGTATATTTCATAAGAAAATCCAGTATCACCCTAATACAAAGCACCCCCAGGTTGGCCTCCACCAAAATACCTATGGCTTGTTGGGCTGACTTCCTAACTTTTTTGAAGGCGATGACAGCCAAGAGAATTTCAGACTAAGAAGCTGTAGAGCAACACTTTTCTGCTGTCTCCTACTGTATGGAAGATGGCCTGTACTGCTTAATCATATTTAGGCACAGAAATGTATGTTTTAAACACAAAAGTACCTATGGGTGTGTTTTTTCTTGAGTTGTCTATTGTTAATATGCAAAGCAAGGATTTAAAGATATGATGGGAATGGTGCCAAGATTTTATGAAGAGCTCTCATAAACTACAAAGTGGCAATTGAACTTCTTTTATCTCTTCTGCTGGACACAAGTGTCCACTGAGCAAAAATGCACTCACAAACCATTCTATCCCAGCCAGGGCTTTAGCAGATGTGAATCAATCCTTTCGCTAAGTGACCTCAGAAAGGAGCAGAGATACAGAAAAGCTCTCATTAAAAACAAAGTGCTCTCTTTTATGGCTTTCTACAATAAAAAGTTTTTATTAGAGCACAGTTTTTGTGAGAAAATGTCTGAGACATAATCGCTCTGGTCTGCAGGAAATGGCATTTACATTTCATGCAAGAAATACTGTCTTAAAATCTGTCTGATTTAAATGTCTGTCACCATGTGTCCATACACCAGCATTACTCACAGGTGCCACTTAACTCATCAGGTGACTCAGACAGTTCTGAATAATTTTTATGTTCTTTTTTCTGAAAATAAATTGTTCAGAGTCTCAAATTAAATTCTCAAGAGTTTAAGCTTTACTGCTACTATTTAAAAATTAATTATTTAAAAATACAGTCCTTTTTTTCAGTTATAGTTTCAATTTATCTTTTTTTGTGGGGGCTGGCACAGTCATCAATGTCCTGCAGACAATCATTATTGTAGAAAAACATGTTTATGAATATGTGACAAGATTCAAGGGAACGCAGGTTAGGACATAAGTGCATACTATAATTTATTGCTTGTAATACCACAGTGCCTATGAGGAATAATCACACACCAGGACTTTCTGGACAGCTAGAATAAAAGGATTCATTTAAGGCAAGCATTGCGGAGGTCTAACTTAGAATATCATTCTGGAATCAATCTTTACCAAACCTTTACAACTCCAGAACTGGGGCTATAAAGAAACTTCACTTGGAAAAACTTCAAGCAGAATTCTGAGTCATAAAAATGACCAAAAGACAGTGGCATCTTTCAGAAAGTAATATTTTGAAAGGAGTCTTATTTGCAGTTTGTACTTTCTTTTCTAGAGGTAAGTACAAACACCAATAAAGTTGAGATGCATCATCACTGCAGGAAAAGACAGGAGCTTCACATAGAAAGAAGCATCTGACTTGAACAGAAGAAACTAAATGTACTTCAGGAGTACAGAAATGATACAAAGAACAGTTGAAATTTCAGTTCTACTCTGGGAGTTATCAGCTAGAAATGATTAGGGAGGCTGCAGTCACAACAGATCATGGTGTGATTATGAACTGGCAGCATGATGTTACCTTGAAAAAGGCAAATAGGATCCTGGGTTATGCACAGAGGAAAGCTCCTGCAGCAACAGAAATGTATCAGTGCTGCTGCAATGAGGGAAGTCACTGGACTGCTGTCCATGATTCTGGGCATCCAAGTGCAAATGGTGTTATCTCTGTCCAGAGCAGGTGGAGGGACAAGCTATCCTGATGACTTCCAGATTTATCTACTTTCCGTATTTTGCAAGAGGAGAAGTTTTCTTGGTTTATTTAGCCAACTAAAACAAAGGTTGTGAGGGGATATGATGCAGTCTTTAAACAAAACCAGGCCATTAATAACAAAGAGAAGAGGAGCCTCTAAGCTAAAAGACAATGTAGTTACAAGAAAAAATTGATATTAATTGTTCAGCAATAAATGCAGGCTGAAATTCTAAAGAATGTTCCTAATGAAAGAAGTCATATTTTGCAAACAGTCTTCAGATCAAAGCTGTGGGAGGATGAAAATAGCATCTAGTTTTGAAACAGAAATAGGTATCTACATTACATGGGATGAAACAAGATGCACGCCTGCAAATCATGGAGAGCCAAGCACAGGGACCTTCTCCTGTCCACTCCAGTGTCCTTATGGGTTATTTTCCCAGCCTGTTTCTATTGCATACATTGGGGAATCTATAAGAAATAGCAAACCTTGACTGTAAACATACATGAGACTGAAACATTTCTCAATTTTTTTTCTTAAAAGTAACCTTTAAAATATCATCTATAAATGATCAACTGCATTGAAGTCATATTGATGTAAGTATGAAATAGGGATAAAAGAAAAGCCTGGAAAATTCTGCGTGGTGCAGTGATAAAAAGTGGTTGTTCATTATTTCTTTTGGTGGAAGAGCTGTGTGGCATCATCTGAAGATAGTTTGTTCAAAGAAAGGAACTGCCCTCCCACTGCCTTCCCCTTGCTGCCCCAACAAAGCCCCCACAAAAGCCTGGCAACCAGAGAGCTTGTTCTTCCCAGGATAGGTGGCCAAGCTGCTGTTGTAGATGCTACACTTTTATAGGATTAAAAAGAGGGACAATGAAAAATCTGTCATTCTACTAATGTCCCCAACCATTAATTTTTGGATGTAGAGAGCTAACAGCAGTAGCTCCTCATACACATTCCTACACTCCTCCCAAGGCCACCATCAGAGGTGGAATACTGGGTTAACTAACTATTGCTTCCATGTAAAACTGCTGCTCCTGCAGTGCATCCAACCAGCAGAGCACAGCACAGGCTCCTTCACCTTACATGAGCAGAGACTGGCTCTGGAAGGTTCTGGAAGCAGCACCTCTTGATTTCCTGTGGATGTTGAATGTGAGAGATCGGGCAGGTAGCACAGTGTCTGTGTGAAATTAAGTCACATAACTTTCTCACACTGGCCTGAGAAAGTATGAGGAGGAATTCAAACAGTCTTTAGAGAAGGAAAACAACCTTTGCTGGTGTTGTTTGTCTCCTTGTTGTTTTCTTGCAAGAAGCAGTCAAGGGGTATAGTTTCTAACTGTCCAATGATGGTGATGTGTTGGTTTGATGACCAAAGAAAGTTTTACCTTTTCCAACTTTCTTGGAACTGTCTATAAAAGAAGATCTGGAAAATAAAACTAGCTCTCTTTTGCAACTAATCTTGAGAGTCTGTGTCGTCACTCTCACCGTTCCTAATACAGTGTGACAATTTCCCATTCTGTGTGTCATGGAACTAGCTTGCCTTCTCAAAACTCTGCAGAGATTATATGGTTTTCACACGCTTAACCTACACCTTGCCCCTTCCCACAGGTTTTCTTCTGAAAATGACAAGTCTTCTTCAGCTTTAAGAATCAGTTAATTCCTTCCTATAAAACCTGCTTAAACCTTGCTTTAGTTGTTGTGCCTTCTTAGGATCCCAAGGGGGAAAAAAAGATACAGAATTGGCTGAAGGGAAGAAAAAACCAAACCAGCAAAACCCAAGCTAAGAATGTGGCAAACTCACCACACTTCATCATCCCCACTTCGTAGCATTTCCGTAGCCGGCACGCCTGGCAGCTCTTGCGCCTGTTTTTATCTATTGTGCATTGATTGGTGGCTGGGCAGATGTAATCGTTGTGTCCTGCAGTGGGGCAAGAAGGGAAAATCCAACATTTCCAACCATCATTCAGTCATTTCCCAAAGCAGGAATGTTCTTGGCTTTAAACAATTCAACCTTTTCATGTGCATATATCTAAGCTCTGTTAATTTAACTGATGCAAAAATATATATTTATCCTATAATGAACATCAGCCTGTGGCCTCAGAATTAACCAGACAGCATTGCTTTACAGTGGTGATTGTCAGATTAGCAAGCACCTTCTAAAAAGCAACTAATTTTTTGAGAATGGAACATAGACTCTTGTGGAAATTTGCTCCCAGCCTCCAATTTCTTGCTGTATATTGGGAGCCTATAGCTGGAAGACATCAGATTTTAATTTTTTTTTCCCCCTCAGCAGAATTGAAAAGAGCAGCTTCAGTCCTGGAAAGATTTAAGTAAACTACAGCTCTATTTACTGAACTCTGACGTGGTGAGTTCCAGGAATGAAGAAGCCTTTGAAGGATTGACCCTGGACCAAAGTTAACAATAAAACAAAACAAAACAAAAAAAGCCTAGATAGAAGGCAGACTGGTATGAAATAATGCATCCTGTAACAACAAAGAAAAGCACAAGTAGAGAGTGTAAATTTTAGATATTCTGGATAAGTATTTATCTTATTTTCATCAGTTTTCACTGCAGCCTCTTCTGTTCTTTTCTCATTCTTTCCCATATCACCTCGTTCCCACCCAAACCCCTTTATGTTACTGTATTTCATTAATCAATAATCTGGTCCAAAGGTTTATTACTGGACTTGGGCTCACTCTGGCATAAATACAGTTGAATCATCTCCTGCCAAATAGTGGAACTCTCTTGCAGCAATTACTAAAGGATGCAAAAAAAATTCATTTACTTTTCTTAATATCTTTTTCCCCAGGCTGCTTTTTAAGTTGCTTTGGGTTTTGTTTTCCCTAACCAAAAATAAGATCAGGCAAAAATACAGCTATTAGAATGATATTTTTTTTTTTCACTTGGTGCAAATCCAAGAGTTCATGTCCCCAAGAGTAATTATTTAACTGAAGCATTGTGACTATTGCCATGCAAAATTAGAATTATTTTAACCTTGAATTTTTGAACTGACAATTTAAAAAATATCTTGTTACAGTTTGTCTCATTTCCTACTGGCAGATACAACTGAAAAACAAATTACTGTTTATCACTCTTCACACAACATGGAGGGGAGAGGAGGAGGAAGCTCTCTGTTGCACACAGGAATATAAAGTGATTTAAAACTCTTGTGGCCTTGGGATAATTTAACTTGCAGGCAGATGTTCAGCAATGGGACAAACAGACTACACTGCAAATTCAGATAAGCCAAGGAGACCACACACAGTTTCTCAGTCATACTTATAATTTTAATTTAATTCATGAGCCCGACATTTTGGTCTATGGCAGGCCCAGAAGTATTTTATTTTAATACACAATATCCTGTATAACAACCATTACAACTGAGTGCTTGATAGTGTTTTATGCCAAGAACTGGCTTTCTTTTATTTGCTTTTTTTATTCTTCCATTTGAATTATAAACACTATTACCTGACAGAGTAGACTGAGGTGTACAAAAGGCCACAGTGGGTAACTTGCTGGTGGCCCAAGTACATGTGAGCAACACAGAGCAGGCAAAGCATGTACTTGACAGAAAATACCTTGACATCAAATTCAGTCTTCATTTGTGACAAACTGGACACAAAGGTCTGTTCAATTATTTCAGAAATCAAAAGTACTTGCACTAGTAGAAATTGCTATTCACCTGTGCAGAATTTGCACAATGAACTGAAAAGGCAAACCAAGTTCTGAATTAAATTTGATTCTCCTACTGGCACCATCTCTACCATATTAAGTGAAAAGAAAATATCTGCAGATTGCTAAAGGCTCTGCAGGCAGAAAAGGAGATGAACATTAAAAATCAAACAGCAACAGGATTTTCTCCATTGGTATCCATGTGTAGCAACCAATGTCAATAGAAATGATTTTCCACCAAAAGATCCCAGATGAGGCCAAAGATCAGGATAACTAGGCCAAGGTTAAAGGAACTGAATGCCCCAAAGCTGCAATACAGTGCCTAAGTGACTTCCACTGGCTGTGACAGCAAACGTGGAGCCCCACGTTTACTTCACAATGCAGCCATGCAGCAAACTTTAATTAAATACCAGATATTTAAGAATTGAAACATGGAAGTGGAAGTCTTAGACAGAGAGCTCTGGCAGAGTAGGAGATACTGCAGTGCAGGCTCTGAGGGGTGGAGGGCTGAGCTTTAATGATAATCAGGTTAATACCTACAGGTATTTTTCCATCTTCCACAGTGTGTAGATACTACACAGTATGACTCAACACCTCCAGGCAATAGACTCTTGTCAAGTAGAGCTCCCAGCAAGCAAAGTCTCCAGATAATTGCCTACTCTTACTGTGTCTATGACAGCTAATTCTCAATTATCACAACTAAGCTGGGCCACAAACTCCCATCAGATTCACAGATCTGCAGCGCCATCCCACCCAGGCCTGTGCTGCAGGGCCTCACTGTGCTATGCATTCCACCTCTTCTCTAAATAAATCAGTTCTCACTCTGTCATGTTTCCAAGTCTTGATAACATCAGAGCCAAGAGATAAAACAGTCAAATCATGTGTTGCTCTATTTTCAGCATGGAGCACCAGACATCAGGATTTCAGACCAGCTCATTAATAGGTCAACTGCTGCAGCCCCTGGTCACATGAAACAATTTATTTAAGCAAAGTTATCAAAACCTGTTTGTCCTACCTTGAATGCTTCTTTTAAAAAATGCTTTGCAGCCTTCGCAGGACCAGACCCCATAGTGGTATCCTGAAGCATAGTCACTGCAGACTGCACAGAAATGGGCATCCTTTTTTGAGCCTGGATTATTTGCAATTGGGCTTGTACAGTCATTGCCATTAGTTTTTCTTTTTAATGTTTCTCTGATAGAAAAGAAAAACATCTGTTATAAAAGAGGAAAAATTTAAACTGCACTGCAAAGAGTTTCATAATTTTCCATTGTCTTCTATCCTCTCTCTATAGAGTCTTCATGTTCCTGAACACAGGAGAGTGGGAAACACTGCTAAGCCTTCTCTGACAAGATAATTTAAAGCGCATAGTCTGATCCCAGTGAAGACACTAGAAGGATTTAGGCATAAAACTGGACTGCTGCTGAATCAGTTACATGAACCCTGGGAAAATCATATGGAATGCTTGAAGAATTATTGGAAATGTGCAAGTCCAGGAATTTGTGAACCAAGTGGATTTTGCCCCATGGGAGCTTCACATGGAAAAGGAGAACTCGTACAGCTCAGACTGACATAAGTGCTACAATGAACACAGCTGCAATTGCTTTGTCCTGTTAGTAAGGCAAAATTACAACACACATCCATTCTCAAATATTTCATCCTTTACATGAGGCTTTACTCATTCAATGACATGGAGAGAAATAACTGAGGTGTGAATCTCAGTCTACAAGATCAGCTTATGATGTTAGACAAAGTTTTCTGTTCAAGGTGACAGCCCATGTCGATCACCCTAATGCTAAACAAAAAGAAGTCTGAATACAAGAAGAATGAAGAAACACAATTAATAAAATACTTCCATACGTTAAAAAAAAAGTGTTGCTCTATATAAATTAGTAAGATAGAGACATCCCTGAAGCATTGAAAATAACTCCAACATACAGGAACAATTATTCATAACTGGATTAAAATTAAAACAGGAAAAGACAGCCAATTCCTGAAACCCAGATCCTGTAAACAAACACCAGAGGAAAGGAATTTAGATTATCAGTAATGTTGGGTTTAGGTATAGGAAGTATATCCATTGTATCCTTTTTATCTGGACCTCATTTTCTTGGTGGGTTTTGCACATTGTATTTTCAGGGTCAATACCATTTCTAGACAGAGAAAAAATAGTGTCATGCAAACTCTGAGCAGCTCAGAGTGTGAGAAAAGGAATGGTGTATAGTCAACTTATAGGTATAAACTTAAACATGGAGGCAGAACTTAACATCTCTATAATTTTCCTCATCCTGCCTTTCAGAAGGATTAGGGGGGAGAACAAAAATCAGTCCAGATAAGATAGCAGGTAGCATGCTTTATGACTTCTACAGAACAAGGGCAAGTTTAGAACAGAATATTGGAAACATGCTGAAAGTGTTGTCAAAGAGGCTTTAATTAATATATTAAAAGCAGATTTTGTGCTGGTTTCATGACAGGAGGTAAGGACAAACACACCCACATGCCAACTGAAAATCATCAAGTTCATAAGTTTTTGAGGAGAACGTGTTCAAATTTCCTGTTAAAATTTGCAAAGGAGGAAAAGGTGCTTCTCGGAACAAATTTCAAAACAGAAAAATTAAGGTATTTGTTGTACAATTAAGTTATGAGAGATTTTTTTTTTTTTAAATGGTAATTCATTCAGATACAGCAGGGCAGAGGAGTGTTTAAGTATTTAACAAGCTTGGTCTTTGATTACACACACACACCTCGTTAATGGGTTGGTGAATCACTGAGTTATTTCCTGCTCTGCCATGCTGGGAAGACCAGTGAGGGGGAACTCTCTGCAGGAGTAAAGGGGCTGTATCACACATGCCTAAAATGCTTTATTTAATTTGCTAATGCAAGGAAGGAAAAGCATTCCTATTCCTTCCTGTTCCCCTGTATTTAAAAATAAAAGTAATTTGGTGTTTCATATTAGTAAAAGAAGTATATTTTTAAGCTTTACTTGGCAGTCATTATCCAATTGTGAGGGTCAGAAGAGGATCAAAATCAGCTGGAGAGCCTCTCTATGACTGATTGATATGCTGTGGAGAGCAATGTTTATTGCCCTTGATAAAGCACTGGGGTTATGAATGAAAGTAAAGAAAAAGTGCATGCCGTAACATCTCGGCGAGGATTGTCAGTTTTTACCTCCCAGTCATGACAAGCGTTTTTAAAAAGTGCTTTTTCTTTCCCTGCTTAAAAGTTTAACAAGAGCCACCCTGCACTCATGCAAGCTGCAAGGCTTCCTCAGACTTGTGACAAGCAGCTTGCACACAGCAGAACCATCTGGAACAAATTCCTCCTGCGGGCCAAGCAGCATCACAGCCGCTTGTCTGTGACAGCTGCAGCCTCACACCAGGAGGCTCAAACCCCATCAGTTTGTCACCACTGGCTGTGAGGACAACAGACCCTGCAAACAGTCAGGGCTTGCAGGTAAACATCCCATACCCCAAGACTGCTGCTCCAACAGCGTTTCGACACACAGGACAATCCAGAGAGGGCAGCCCCACATGTGGGTAGAGATCACATCCCAGCTGCTGTAGGACTGGGGCACACCAGCATGCTCAGCAGAGGAATGAGCTGCCAGCTCCTGCAGGTGAGCTGGAAGTGACTGGATAGATGCCCACAATGCTCCTGCCCCAAAGGATGCAGGAAAATAAGGGATGTACCTGGTCGCTACCAAGGAACCACATGGTGAAAGATTTATTACTTTACACCTCCTAGTACTTCTCTCTATTTTATGATTGTGGTTCCTATATAGAGATACTACCTTTCTAAAAAAGAATCAAGACTTCACTCAAAGTAATAAGTCACTGATTTTCTCCTGGGCATCCTTCTATTCTGAGCAAACTGGTCTAGGGGGTGTCCCTGTCCGTGGCAGAGGGGCTGGAACTAGATGGTCTTAAAGACACCTTTCAATTCAAACCATTCTGTGAGAAAGAGGTTATACTCCAGATTTTCTTGATTTCTCTTTAAGTTAGGTCATCATCAGCTGCATGGGCAATAGTCCTTATATATCTATTCAAATAGCTGACAACTTACTCATTTGAACTCCAGTGGGACAGGTTCAGCTTTCCTTCTTTTTGTTGTTGAGAGGGCATTGCAGAGCATCAGATGGTGCTCTTGCTCCTGGGTTATTCCAGCTGCTGTCCCAACATCTGGACAGCTTCAAACACTAACCTTCCCAGGGCTGTCAAAGTTCTGGAACCTTAACCAATGTGGAAAGAGTTTGGATGTTACCCCTGTACACATCAAAGCTGCTCGGGGAATTCTTCTCTCTGTAAGTGCTTCCCAAAGAGTCTTTCCCAAACCACACACCTACACTGAAAGCATATTTGCTCTCCAGAACTGCATCAAACCCACCCATGGCAGGAGTGTGGGTAGTCTCAAAAATAGCACAAATCCTTTATTAACCATTGAACTAAAACTGTTGCCAGGACACATTATTTTTCATACTCCAAACGACTGCTGAAGTTAAGTAAGGAGGCCTATGAAGAGACATACAGCTGCTGAAGCAGGAACAGCACCTGCACACCCTGGGCTTTTATCCATCCAACAAGTGTTATGCCCATGAATGGAGCAATTTCATCACCTGATGATCCAGATGCTGATTAGAGTTTGCAATATGAGTAAATGTGCGGAACAATAACATGTTTTCGCAAACAGTGCTTCTTGTCAGCTGAAAATTCAGCCTGTGACTCTGCTCTTCGCAACAACTTTACAAAGTCAGTGGGAACAGCAGCAAGAAACAAAGTCAGGCTTTTTCAGCAGCAGCCCCCTTTTAACATGATGCATGCTGCTGTGTGACAGCTTATACTAAAACCAAAACGCAAAGAAAACATTTCCCTCGAATTTCAAGTTAACAAAAAGCCTTCACATCTATTAGAAGTTGTAAAAAAATAATCTGGGTAAAAATGAATTCAAAAAATATTGTATGAGAAGGCAAAAAGAATGAACCTTTACCTCTTTCACTCAAAGGACTTAATCTCCCAGAGCATAATTTTATTGCACAAAATAGTACCTATCAGTCTTGAAATTTTGTTTACACAATGTAAACTGTTCCCACACTGAAGGTATTTGTAATGCTCTGTGTTGCTGTATAGTACTCTAAGGAGGTATTGAAAGAAAAAATCTCATTTCAGAAGCTACAAAAACAAAACAAACAAACAAACAAGCAAGCAAATCCCTCAGACTGATTTGGTGTCTAGTTAAATTTTTTTGGCATAGTTTTGTTTTTCAGAGGGACCAACACATAGAAATCAAATGTAAAAAGAAAAGGCTTGAGCTAAGGAAACTCTAAAGAATATCCAGCCAAGTTTTCCAGCAAGAAGCAGCACTGACCTGCTCCCGGGCAGCACTGGCTCCATCGGTCGTGCCTCGCACCACAGGCTCTTGGGCTGCTCTGCATACAGCAGTGAGGACTGGCAGTGCAGAGTCAGAGGGGACAGATGGCCAGGAGCAGACCACAGCGCACTGGGGCTGGAGGTTTGCCTCGCACTCACACTCTCTGGATCCCCAAAACTGCTGGCAATGTTGTAATTCACCATAGCAGGGCTGCAGAATGCCATTGCGGAATATTCGTGCCTGTTTTCCATGTAAGATGAGGGAATGTAGACTGGACTGTGTTCTGCTGCCAGTGTGGACTGATTGCAGCTGTAAGGAACTGGAGAGATGACACCAGCAGGTGAATTTTTAATTTCTGTTTTATTGCATCCAATATCCTGAAGTGGCAGCAACTGAGAAAAGTCCTTGTGAGAAGATGTGCACAGGGACATTTTGATGCAAGATTGAGGAGTGCTCTTCAAATATTCATCCTAAGATGATAAAGAAAAAAAGAAAAAAAATTAAAAAGTAAGAAAGCTATGTATTAAGGCCTTTTATAGAAAAGAAAAAAAAAACCCAGTAAACCAGAAGTCATAAAAACATCTCGTTAAAACAGATCATATACCAAATGCACTTAAATAGTCAATGTACAAATTTACTACCTTTAAGAAAAAGAAAGCTTTCTAGAATATCCTTAAAAATAAAGGTTAAAATACACATTGACTTCAGACTGTCTTAAAAAACAATAATAATTTTAAGAAGAAAACTATTTGAGGCCTGCCTAAAATGAAGATGAAGGTGACAAGTTGGATCTTAACAGTAGTTACAACCAGGGTAAATCTGCTCTCTATCAGAGCTAAAATTACCCCAAGATCCACAGCTATGGAGGAGAAATCAATTCTCTTTATAACAACTCACCATCTCCTGCTGTTAAGCACTACAGTCCTCAGCCTTGTACTTCAGGGTGCTTTCCTTTTCCATCACAAACATGTAACAGCAGGCATTTTGAAAACAGACAAACACACACATGCATATCCCCTATACCTTCCAAATCCAGAACTCCACTGCACATCCCTTTACACAGAGGAGGAAGACAGGTAGTAGATGTCAGCAAGCAGTGCAACTTCATCACTGAGAGGTCCCTGGGTACGGCACCTCTGAACAGAGCCATTGGAAAAGCAGAAGTCATGAAACACAGATATTTCCAAAGCTGACAATAAAACTCGAGTGATTTCATAAGGTCCAGAAGTTTTATAATTCCCTGCAACTCTCCATCCCCATCCCAACTACCCCCTGTCCTTTCTCCCATCTGACTCAGTTATCAAAACAAAGATCTTAAATTGACCACAGTAAATACTCTTTGCAAGATTTAGGCATAGGCAAATCATTTAAGAGAGAAAAGAGTTTTGAAAAGAAAAAAATAAAAGCCCACCAAAATTATCCTCCTGAGACAGACCTCTGTCCTAGAAGCATTATTTTACTGTAGCATTTAAACATATTTTTTCTTTATTCTTCACTAAGACTTTAATCTGTAATTCATTCCAGCTTTAAAGACAGACCTAGTTTGCAATTCAAAACAATACTGTATCCAAAATAGGAAGTTTCAGCCCCCTGAACTGATATTGCAATGTGCTTTTACATATGGTAATAAGATCCTAACACGAGAAACCAGAGGATAACTAAACACTCACCCACAGCTTTGCTATTCCACAAGTGGCCAAGGTAGAGATGCTAAATGTTCTTACCTTTTTTTTGCCTCACATGACCATAAAACAAGATGAGGAAGATTCAAGCATAGGTTTGTTGAAGAACCAGCAACCTCCCTGTCCCCAAAGTTCTCAGCCCATGGCATTTCTAATATGCCACCTTGGGGCATTGATAGGCACCTCTTCTAGGGCAAGGACTGACAGTAGAAGCACTAACAGAAAAGGTAAGAAATAGTCTTTTTGACTAAAATGGATAGTTGAGAGTCCTTCCTTCCTCCTCACTCTGCATTCTGGCAATGAAACTGAAGTTATGTGTAGAAATAACCAGAAACTCGTTTAAATCAGCTCAGGCACTTTAGACCCAGCTGCTGTTTTTTCCTTTGTGGGAAACAGGAAAACGAGATATCTCAGCAGCTTGTTTGTGTCCAGCAGTTCTTGGACTGGAACTCCAGAGCAGTCAAAGCAGGGGATTCTGACCTCACTCCTCACAAAACCTACACGCTTCATCTGCCCCCACCAGATGCTTCACAGCCTTCTCCAGAAAAAAACAGGCATTGTGCAAACTGCAAAAAAAAAACCACTGATAAACCCAAAGGTTCTTTCACTCCCAGACTGTGAGGTGGGTAATTTTTTAGAAGAAAAAAATGGAACAAAAAATATTTGGAGTATTTTCATGGGTTACTATGAGTGGGCCCAATGAGCACACTGGACTCAACACACATTTAAAGACTCAGTATAAGCAAAGCTGTATTCCCCTTGCAGTCTCAGAGGCTGCAGATATTTAGGATGAGCATGGGCACTTTGCCACACAATCTGGAAGGTCAGCAAAAGCTGTGTTTACTTTGTCCCTCTGCCTCCTTTGGAAGGGCACACAGCACAGGGGGACCCCAAACCCTTTGGAGAGAAGGACCTGAGCAGCACCACAGCAACATCTCTGTCACAGCCAGCTAGAGACATTCTGCTGTGACAGCTTTTGCAGCAGGCAACTGGTTGTGTAGCTTCCCTCAGCATTTAGAAAATAAATGCCTGCATGCTGTAGAAGCAAAGAGAACAGAGCTGCTACTACAAAATTTTTATTAACAGAAATCAGCTGAGATTTGAGTCATGTTTTTCTGCAGAGGGAATCCACTAATGTGTGTGTGCAGGGTATCTGCCTGCTTAGCATAAGGAGATATTGTCTCCAAAGGGCAGCACACAGTATTTAGAAACATATACAGAAGTTACCAGAAGCAAGAGTGAAGCTTGTTTTAGGGGTAGAAGTTCACACAAGAATAAGAAGTCAGTACAGCCTTCCTGAAAAACACACTGCTCATAACTTATTTACAAGAGAAGGCGACTCTGGGGTCCAGCAGGTTAAAGAAAACTGTACTCATGGTCTTCAGCAGGCTGTAATGTAGTGAAAAAATAACAGTATTGACCTGAGATTATTAACTTAGGGAGCAGAAATGGTCTAGCTACAGTAGACCATGGATGTACACGAGATCACATTGATCACATTTCTTTACACCCAGAGAATTTAAAATGGGAAGCCCAGAGCCTCACAAATAAAGTGAAACTGCTGAAATTATGCATCATTACTCAGAAGGTCCTAAAAATCGTCTGCTGGACTGTGAAGTTGTGTGTCTTAAAGCAGACCTGAAGACTGAGGGAAATAGATGTCAAGATCTGAGACTCAAGAAAAACTCCACAAACATCTCAGAAGGAAGCACAACCACATTTAATACAAGGATTACAATAAGTAGTGCAATAGGCTAATAAATTTGTTCCATCGTGGTATAATGTCCTCATATCTTAAACAGTACTCATTAAACAGAAATTAACTACTTCCCAAAGTGAACTCCTGTCCCAACACTCCCTCTTCCTCTGAAAAAAATATTTTAAAAGCAAGATTCAATGATAAAGTACATTATTTAGATGCGGTCTATCAGCCTTGCACTGGATCTATACCAGGCACAGAAACAAAACAGGTGTCTATTACATTTATACTCCAGTCTCCTGGCAGCCTGCAAATGTTTCAATCCACTGAAGTAAGTTTAGCTTAGAGACATATTCAACAACTGAAATGCCATTATTAAGTAAACAATAGCCATTCTGGCCAGTTCCTCAAGTAATACTTACCATTCACAAATCTAAGACAATACAGGCAGGATTCACTCTGAAATAAAGCAGCTTCATTAGCTCCAGTACCCAAAGGATGACACGACTATCCATGAGAATGTAGGGAAAAAACCCAAACGTTATTAATGTTCCCCCCGCCCCCCCGAAAAAAAAAAAGAAAAATTAGATTTCTTCTCTTTGAATAACTCTACAACAACTCAATCTGTCTTGAGAGTCACCATGCAAGACATGCCAGATGAGGCATGAGAACTGGTTTAGATGTCAAACAGATACATGGGTAAATAATTAAGCCATCTGACGTATTTCAACAAACTTGAAAGCCACTTATTGCACATTACCCATACCAAGTACCTCTTTAAAAGCCTTGTGGGAAAATAATTCTTTTGCTTTCTTTTTTTTTTTTTTCAGTTTTATGTTTGTTTGGGGTTTTTTTTTTCCATTTTGGAAATGGGAAAAATAGGTAGAGAGGGCAGGGTGCCTGCTTGGGAACATAATACAATAGCTTTTCCTAGAAAAGTACAACACTTCAAAAAGCAAGGGAGTGACAGATGTTCTCAGGCACCCTTCCATCAACATACACTACAACATGCTTAGCATTTTATATATACATTGAGTAAAGCTTTCTTGCAATAGAGAATCAAGATGACCTTTTTCTCTGCTAGGCTTAAACTAAAGTGCAATCATTCTGCCTTTGGGTTTAATAGAGGTGATTCAGCAAGCGTGCATTCCAACACCCCACAGGCAAAGATCCTCAGTCATCTTTAATAGAGCATTCTATTAATATTCTGTTGAGTTACATTTTACACAACTCACTGCAACAATAAACTGAATCATCCTCTGGAAAAGTGATTATTAAAGGAAAGTCATTCCTGATGCGTAAGATGATACTTGTGCTGTGGGTTTTGTGACAAACTTATTACTCATTAAACACAGCAGTGCCAGATATTGCCAACAGAAGGCAGACAAGTTAACAAGTTTATTATTACCTGAGAAGGAGTGGATGCAACAAGTAGGGGAGAGATAGGGAAGAAAAATGCAAACACAGCTATCTGTCCAAACTTCAGATATTGTACTCCTTCCTCCAAAATTAATAACCTGTCCTCAATGACATCAAGACCTATTCTAAATAAAATACTGTGGCTCAAAATCACACAGGAAAGAATATTTTGAAACAAGCAAAATGAGCACTCTTTAGATTATGTTAGCCTTTGAGTTACTCAGGACACTGACAACTCCTAGATTATTCCAAACATTCATAAATACATTTCAGGGCTCTGTGGATATGACATGGGGGCACCAAAGGAACTGGATTTGTTCTACTAGAAGAATACACAACTTCAGTCTTTTACCCCCTGAAGTGGAGTTACAAAGACAAGAAATCCAGACTCTTTTTACAGAAAGCACACAAGTCAGGAGAACACGGTCACATGCTAGTGCAAGGGAAATTTCAGTAGAACATGGGAAAAATTCTCCACAGTGAGAATTAAGCACAGGGATGGGATATTCAGAAAGGCTGAAATCCCTGTTTTTGGAGAGATTCAGAAAAGATTCTCTTTGAGCAGGATGCTGGATTACTTGCTCTCTAGATTTCCCTCCCCACCTTCCCAATACTGGAAAACATTTTCAGATCTCAGTTCAAACTAGAGTTAAGGCTGACTTTACTAGTTTTTAGCCTTTAAATTTGTAGACCATTAAAATGTTACCAGATCTGAGAGCGGATTTAAGCTTTCTATTATTTGCATCTCCTAAGTATGTTTCATAGACTTAGGGTTTCAGGCACCAGAAATGAAAAGTCACTGTCCTGCTCAAGAATACAAATGCAAACTGAGATGCTTCAGCTCCTTTACTCTCCATGCAATTATTTCAAAGTACAGTGTAGACTTTTTCATCAAAAATAATATTTGCATTTCAGCAGGAAAATTTTAGTGTGTTCCATTAGAAAAGAAGCATCTCTTAAAACTATTACACAAGTTATAATTACAAGGATCTATCTGAGGATTTTGTAATCATGTTTCCATCTGCAGCAGTATTGTGGCAGAAGCCAATACAAAGAATAGCACCCTTGTCCAGCAAGAGCTTCATTATTTAAAAAAAAAAGTATCTCCTCTGATGCGAGAAAGTGCAGGGAAGAGCAGCACAGGGATTTAGATTTTCATGGATTTGGGATGTGCATCGGTATCCAGCATCTCTGAAGCACATTTGGGTCTCTCAGCACATACCAATTAATTAAGCTAATTCTAAAAAAGTTATTACTGTTTTGATTACCACACCACAGCCCTGTCCCAACAACTTAGAACACACCACTTCCTTAGATCCAGGAGGAATTAATTCCTTCAATCAACATTTCTATCTTAATGGCAATGTCCTAAAACAAATGTACATGTGCCTTCCTCCACTCCATTCCTTTCTAGCCATTTGCAAAAAGTGTGTTCATAGAATTATAACTGAATCTATGAATGGTTTGGGTGGGAAGGGACCTTGAAGATCACTTAGTTCCAACCCCCCCCAGCCATGGGCAGGGACACATTCTGTGAGATCAGGCTGCTCAGAGCTCAATCCAATCTGGCTTTGAACACTCCCAGGGATGAGATATCCACAACTTCTCTGGGCACCCTGTGCCAGTGGTTCACCACCCTCACAGCAAATAATTTCTTCCCAATATCCAGTCTAAACCTGCTCTCTTTCAGTTTGAAGCCATTCTGCCTTGTACCATCACTACACATCCTGATAAAAAGTCCCTCTCCATCTCCCTTGGGGCCCCCTTAGGCACTGGAAGTACCAGAGCTTTCTCTTCTCCAGGCTAAACAACCCCAGCTCTCTCAGCTTATGTTCATGCAAGATGTGCTCCAGCACTCTGATGAATTTCATGGCCTCCTCTGGACTCACTGAATCTTAGGTTCTTCATCCTTCTGATGTTGAGGGTCCCAGAGATGGATGCAGCACTCCAGGTGGGTTTTCACAAGGGCAGAGCAGAGACTGCACACAGAGCTTAATGTCGTCAGCAAACTTGCTGAGGGGGCCTAGATCCCACTTCCCCTGTCATCATCAAAGATGTTACACAATTCTAGTCTGCTGAGAAGCAGAGTGCCATGCTCAATCCTCTGCCCTCAACAAGGGAAAAAGCATATGGAAAAAATGCCTTATTTTGCCCAGAACTTTTACACAGCTTGGAGGGTTTCTGAATAACTGTCTCTGTTATTGGCAGGGTATAGACATGAGCTGGCACAGGGGCTGAGTTTTTTTGACTCAAGTCAAGTTCCTTTTCTTTACTCTTACAACAAATCAACAGCTCTTGTATTATAAATAAATTGGGGACTGAAAATTCCACCTCATTTATTCCCTTTTCCCACAGCAGTTTCCCAATCAGGTCTGAGAGGATATACAGCAGCATGAAGAGAGCAGAGCCTGCAGCAATGCACTCATGCCAGGCAGAAATTTGAGAGGAAAGAGATGGTGGCTAAAAAAGTCAATATATGAAGAAAAACAAGTAAATCAGGCAATAGGGATAGAGCAGGAATTGAAAATTCCTACATTCTCAGGGGAGATACTATCTTGTTTTCTGAAGAAAGCAAAGATGAGACTTTCCCAGGTAGCAGCTGTCCTTCACTAGGCATAAAGACCTGTGACAAGATTAAAAGTCCTTTTGCCAATGGACAAAAGAGAAAAGTCATTACTGCCCCTTAAAACCTGCCCCCTGGCAATCCATGGGAACAAGTCTGATGTTGGGCAGACAAGTGGGACACATCCCCAAATGATGTGAACTCATTTATTTCTGCAGTTCATGCCCTACCACCCTGGCAGATCTGACCTGCCATAGCTCCAAAAGACAGGGTGGGAGTTTCTGTTTTGCATATATGTCAGTAAGTTCAGGAGCCATTGCTCCTGGCTAAACAGACATTGGTTTTCCCTTGAGCATGCCATGCCTCAGGCTCCTCAAATAACCCCTTGTTTTGCAAAGCTGAGAAGCAATGGTGATAACCAGAGCTGTCTTTGACGAAAGAAAACCTTCCTTGCAGAAATGTTGTCAGGAATAACTTTTTCAGATCTCAGTGACCTAAAGAGTGAAGAAAAAGCAGTAGACTTTTTCCTGTCAGACCAATTTGCAAAATGTCTTATTCTACTTTCTCTTCCCCCCAAAAAAATGGTGTTATTTACAGTGTTTTTTTTCCAGATGGCCTCTTTACTATGCAAATGATTCATGTTATAGGAATAATTTAGGTAGCCAAAGAGTAAATAAAAAGTTTAAAACTTTTGTCTTTTTAGTCATGAAACTTGAATAAGCAGTCTTTCCTACAATGGTAATAGAAATTAAGTCTATGCATGACTATGTATGAAATGCAGAACTCCTTTGGCTGCTTATCTGGTTTTAGCTATAGTAAATTGATTTTCTTACTGGAATTTATGTAAAAACTATCCTAATTGTATTAATTTTGTTGTGCATTTTCATATTAACATCAAATTCAAGACTAAACATCTTAATCTCTGCAATTTTATTGAACTTCTTTAAATGAATTTTTTTTGATGCAGTTTTTGATGACTTAAAAGATTTACAAGCACTTAATAAATGAGTCATTATGCCTTTACTTTTTCTCCACCATCACTAATTCACTGAAAGAGCACAGAAACCCAGGCACTGCTTATTCCTGCCTTTCAAGCTGTGAAACACTCTTATAATGCTGCATGAAATCCCAGGTCTGATATGTTTAACACCATCCACAGGCTAATAAAGTTTGTGGATAGGTTTTAGTCCCTTAAGCAAAGAAAGCTGTTCTAGATTTGTCTCATCATTAACTTAGACACGAAAACGTGCCTTTTATTGTAAAATCCTGTCTCGGCTGAGTCAGTCAGAATTTTGTTGATGTCTCTCACAGATGGACATTTGTCTAACACACTAATTAAGACAAAACTGTAATGTCCTCCTAGTCTTATTGAAATGAAATCTGAGAAATTATTCTGGGATTTCTGCTTGCTGAGTTTCTTATGTCCTGTCTCTCAAGGAATGGACCAGCAAACTCTTTTATGTGACTGTTTCTCGCTGCTAGCAAAAACATGCTGCAGAGAGATGAAGAAAAGCACAGTAAAATAGTGGATTTTACATCAGCCCCATGGATCACCATCCCTTATCACTGTAAGACCTTTCCTACTTTTACCTTTAAGCCAATATTCAAGAATCAGAACTAAAACTAGGAGTCTTTAATGGG